CGGGAGGTCTTGCTGAGCGTCGTGAGCCTGCGTCTCGCCCTGCGTCACCTATCCGTACTGCTCGCACTAGTGGTTGCGGTTCGCGTCAGCGTCCTCCTCCTGTACCTGGCACGCACCGGATGTCTCTGCGTCCGTCCACTGCTCCTCTGCGTGCCCCTTTGCCTTCTCCTCCTGAGTCCTCTCTTCCAGACCTTCCCGACCCGGACTCGGACTCTCTTCGTTCTGCCAGTCCTACTGTCACGCGTCTCCTTGCTACTGTCTTCACTGACCCTTCTTTTGAGTCCACTGCTGCGTTTGCCCTAGTTGCTGAGCTCGTCGACTTTGCTGCTCGCTGTCGTCTAGACTACACTGCTAGTCTTGTCGCTGAGTCTGAGTCTGTCTGTCCTCCGTCCGTCGGGGGTGAGTGTGCCCTTGGCACGGACGTCCTTGAGGACAGGCAGGAGGAGTTCCAGTGCTTGGCCGCTGCTTCACCTCATCTCGTGTCCGTACTGCTTACCCCTGAGGGAGACCCGGATGCACTTGACATCCCGACTCCGCGCTCTTACGCGGAGGCGATAGAGGGTTCCTACTCTTCTTAGTGGCAGGCAGCCATGGATGCAGAGATGGCTTCTTGGAAGTCCACAGGCACCTATGTTGACGCTGTCCCGGCCTGGGGCGAATATCGTCAGTGGCATGTGGATTTTCAGGGTGAAGCGGCCGCCGGGTTCTCCGCCAGTCTTCAAGGCGCGTTACGTGGCTCGTGGCTTGAGTCAGCGGCAGGGAGTTGACTACTTTCAGACCTTCTCTCCCACCCCGAAGATGACCACTCTTCGGGTACTACTGCACGTAGCTGCTCACCGTGACTACGAGCTACACTCTCTTGACTTCAGCACTGCTTTCCTACAGGGCAGCCTGCACGAGGAGATCTGGCTGCGCCGCCCACTTGTCTTCACTGGGACTTTTCCTCCTGGCACCCAGTGGAGCCTCCGGCGGCCAGTCTACGGTCTCTGCCAGGCACCGCGTGAGTGGCACGACACACTGAGGACTACGCTTGCGGCTCTTGGGTTTGCTCCCTCTACTGCCGACCCGTCGCTGTTTCTACGCACCGACACTTCTCTGCTGCCGTTCTACATCCTCGTGTACGTCGACGACTTGGTCTTTGCCACAGCTGACACTGCTGGACTTGCCTACATGAAGTCCGAGCTGCAAAAGAGACACACGTGTACAGACCTGGGTGAACTGCGCAGCTACCTTGGCTTGCAGATCACCCGGGACAGAGCACGCCGCACCATCACCCTGACTCAGTCACACATGGTGCAGCAGGTCCTTCAGCGCTTCGGCTTCACGTACTCCTCGCCTCAGGCCACTCCTCTGCCTACTCGCCACTCGCTCTCAGCTCTGCCTTCGGATGAGTCCGTAGAGTCGAGTGGCCCGTACCCAGAGCTTGTTGCCTGCCTCATGTACCTGATGACCTGCACACGACCTGACCTTGCATACCCTCTTAGCATTCTTGCACGCTATGTTGCTCTTGGGAGACACCGACCAGAGCACATGGCTGCAGCAAAGAGGGTGTTGCGCTACTTGTGCAATACGTCGGGCATGGGGCTAGTGCTTGGAGGGCGGAGTCCAGTGGTCCTCACTGGTCACGCAGACGCTTCTTGGGCTGACGACCAGGCTACGCACCGGTGGTCACAGGGTTACACCTTCGGCCTTGGTTCCGGCTCTGTTTCGTGGCGGGCTACTCGCTCGTCTTTTGTTCTTGGCTCCTGTTGTGAGGCTGAGATCTACGCCGGGGCCATGGTTGCTCAGGAGCTTCGCTGGCTCACCTACCTGCTGACCGACCTTGGAGAGCCGCCTCGTTCTCCTCCAGTCCTGTACGTAGACAACAAGGCCATGCTGGCCTTATGTCGAGAGCAGAGACTGGAGCACAGAACAAAGCACATTGCTCTCCGCTACTTCCTTGCTCGTGAGCTACAGCAGCGTGGTCAGTTGCGGCTTGCGTACGTGGCCTTTGAGGCCAACACTGCTGATGTCTTCACCAAGGCACTTGCGCCTTGTGATCATCAACGCTTCTGCACGCAGCTGGGTCTTGTACATGTCTTGCCTCACTTGCTCACCTCTTGACCTTGCTTGTACTGTTACATATATATATACCTGCTCTTGCTTGTCTAGCCTTATATATATATGTACTCCTGCATGTGAGCTGGCCTTGTGGCCTTGAACTTGTGCTCGGAATGTGTGGTGACTTTGTGATCCACCCTGAGCTTGCTTTGCTTTGCTTTACTTGACAGGTATTGTGACCCCTAGTTCTCCCCCACTTCGCCTATGGGGGTGTGTCAAACATTATATATATGTTGTGCTTGTTTAGGCTACAGTGGGTTAGCCTATAGGGGGTACACAATTCTAGGGTTAGGTACTTGTACTGATTTCACTGTTAGTTGAACCAATCCTGTTCGTTCATTTCAACACGGTCCCGGGCTGTGGCGGTCACGGGCCGCTCGGGGCCTCTAGGGGCAAGCGCTGGGCCTTTCGGGGCCTCTAGGGGCGGTGGGCGCGGGGCCGACGGGGCCGTTCGGGGCCGCTAGGGAGGTGAGCGCGGGGCCGTAAAGGGGCCTCTAGGGGCCGACGGGGCCGTTCGGGGCCTCTAGGGAGGTGAGCGCGGGGCCGACGGGGCCGTAAGGGGCCTCCAGGGAGGTGAGCGCGGGGCCGTAAAGGGGCCTCTAGGGGCCGACGGGGCCGTTCGGGGCCTCTAGGGAGGTGAGCGCGGGGCCGTAAGGGGCCTCTAGGGAGGTGAGCGCGGGGCCGACGGGGCCGTTTGGGGCCTCTAGGGAGGTGAGCGCGAGGTCGACGGGGCCTCTAGGGAGGTAAGCGAGGGGCCGACGGGGCCGTTTGGGGCGATCGCGGGGCCGAAAGGGGCCGCTAGGGGCGAGCGCATGGGCCGTTCGGGGCCTCTAGGGGGCGGGCCGACGGGGCCTTAAAGGGCCGTGAAAACCGAGGCGCCCTAGGGCGCAGGTAGGTAGGTAGGTAGGTGGGTAGTGGTGGGCCCTAAAAAATCGGTCCTAGGAAGGACCTGCTCTGGTACCATGTTGGAGATCAACGAAGAGGAATGAATGAACTAAGAATGAAAACAGTACAAATACCTAACCCTAGAATTGTGTACCCTCTATAGGCTAACCCACTGTAGCCTAAACAAGCACAACAACATATATAATGTTTGACATCGACAGCTCCTGAGTGCTAGCTGCACCACTGGCAAGCAGCACCTCGAGATGACCATGAAGGTGAGCAGGTGAGCAGAACGAAACTCCCCACGTAGCTCGACATCCTCCTCGGGCGGAAATGGCACGGTGCCATCGGCGAAGCCCTTTAGCCCGGCGACCTCTAGCTGAGGTTCAATCGACTCCCTCGAGGTGATGAGGTCCCGTCGACCTTGCAGCGGTGCGACGGAGATCCGGTCCGGCGAGAACTTGAAGTAGCCATACGCCGGTGCAATCCCACCTGCCGTCACGTGTGTCGTCACCGAGAGCCCTCCACCACTTCGTGGAGGAGAACGGCGTCGAACATCGACGACGTCGGCACGCGAGCTCCCTGCAGCCACCGTCTACCTCTGCAGTCGCGCCTGGATTCCGTCGACACCACCGTCGACCTTGATCACTCCTCTCTGCCTCGTGCCTTCGCTGCCGCTGACTCGTGCACCACCGTCGACCTCGTCGTCGACGCCACCTTCGTTGCGCACCGGTCGAGGAGAAGGAGGACGGGAAGGGTGTTCCGTCTCCCACTGCGATCGGATGCCAAACTCGGCGATCACTAAGGGGATCGTCCCGTACTCGCCATCTGCGTGGCGTCTCCTCGCATCAACCAAACGTGCCTCCAAGGTGTCCGCTACACCCGCATCAACTACGGGGTCGACCATGGCGACTATCGCTGCTGCCGGCCTACGAACAACTTAGTAGGTGCAAAAGTCGGCTCCTATCTGAAGGTCGCGTGTTCGTTCCACGCTCACCGCACCATGCAAAGATAAACTCTACAACGTTAGTGAGCTAGACTACGGGGGTTGGCACGAACTACTAGAGGTGATCGTAGCTTTGCTTGGTTCCTTAGTGCTTGCACATTCACGGGAGAAATTGGCAAGAGTTTCCACTAGCAAAGTTGGAATATCAGAATCAGAACAACAAGAGATCACAATAATGACCACATCAGGCAAATAGCAACCCTGCTGCTAGCCTGGTCGACCGCCAGCACAGCTCGGTCGACCGCCTGCCAGCGTTGCATAGAGGAGCCGCGCCAGCACTGCAGAAAGGCGACCTACCAACAGAGCATGTCGACGGCGTGCCAATGCTGCAGCAGAGCGGCTGTCCAGCGTTGCACTGTAGAACACAGCAGTGTGCACGCTCGCAGGTATGCGCACACGATTGGCCCGACTTGCCTCGTTGGGCATTCGTCGGCTGTTGTCTGCGTCTGACGAGCCATATCGACTCCGGGATACCAGTCCGCAGTCGCCTGCTCCATCGCAACCTCGACGACTTTTGCGTGCCTCCGCAGAACTCGTCGAGCAGGTTACCCAGTCGACCACCGGGTGCTTCCGGTCGACCACCAGGTCCCTCTGGTCGACCACAACTCCCGTCGAGCTACCCTCCCCCTAGTCGACGGACCCCTTCCGTCGACCAGAGCCATCAGCGGTTGTCGCCGAGCTCCCCTCGTCGACCGCTGCTCACTTGTCAGGTCGACAGACTGCTCCGTCGACCTCCCGGTCGAACTGCACGTCCTGGTCGACGTCCCACCCGTCGACGTCCCAGACCAGTCAGTTGCAGCTGTCGAGTTCCCTAGTCGACAGTAACACCACAGCGGTCCCCTGCAGCTCGACGAAGCCTGTCGAGCAGCTCTCCCGCTGTGAACGGTCGGTTGCTACTCCCGTGCATCCGACCAAGTCGTCAGCGTTGCCCAAGCGAGGGCGGGGCCAACACTCCATTTCTGTTAACAGACCCCGCATGCACTCCCACAACCCTGCAGAGGGACCCCGCATGCACTCCCAAAACTCCGCAGAGGGACCCCGCATGCACTCCCACAACCCCGCAGAGGGACCCCGCATGCACTCCCACAACCCCGCAGAGGGACCCCGCATGCACTCCCACAACCCCGCAGAGGGACCCCGCATGCACTCCCACAACCCCGCAGAGGGACCCCGCATGCACTCCCACAACCCCGCAGAGGGACCCCGCATGCACTCCCACAACCCCGCAGAGGGACCCCGCATGCACTCCCACAACCCCGCAGAGGGACCCCGCATGCACTCCCACAACCCCGCAGAGGGACCCCGCATGCACTCCCACAACCCCGCAGAGGGACCACGCATGCACTCCTACAACCCCGCAGAGGGACCACGCATGCACTCCCACAACCCCGAAGAGGGACCCCGCATGCACTCCCACAACCCCGCAGAGGGACCCCGCATGCACTCCCACAACCCCGCAGAAGGACCCCGCATGCACTCCCACAACCCCGCAGAGGGACCCCGCATGCACTCCCACAACCCCGCAGAGGGACCCCGCATGCACTCCCACAACCCCGCAGAGGGACCCCGCATGCACTCCCACAACCCCGCAGAGGGACCCCGCATGCACTCCCACAACCCCGCAGAGGGACCCCGCATGCACTCCCACAACCCCGCAGAGGGACCCCGCATGCACTCCCACAACCCCGCAGAGGGACCCCGCATGCACTCCCACAACCCCGCAGAGGGACCCCGCATGCACTCCCACAACCCCGCAGAGGGACCACGCATGCACTCCCACAACCCCGCAGAGGGACCACGCATGCACTCCCACAACCCCGAAGAGGGACCCCGCATGCACTCCCACAACCCCGCAGAGGGACCCCACATGCACTCCCACAACCCCGCAGAGGGACCCCGCATGCACTCCCACAACCCCGCAGAGGGATCCCGCATGCACTCCCACAACCCCGTAGAGGGACCCCGCATGCACTCCCACAACCCCGCAGAGGGACCCCGCATGCACTCCCACAACCCCGCAGAGGGACCCCGCATGCACCCCCACAACCCCGCAGACGGACCCCGCATGCACTCCCACAACCCCGCAGAGGGACCCCGCATGCACTCCCACAACCCCGCAGAGGGACCCAGCATGCACTCCCACAACCCCGCAGAGGGACCCCGCATGCACTCCCACAACCCCGCAGAGGGACCTCACACACACTCCTGCATGGTGGCGTTGAAGTAGGGTGACTCAGGGGAGGTGAAGTTTGGGCCAACGGTAGAATAGAACCAAAGGCGCTGTAGTAGCGATAATTGACATTTCAGATTGGAAGGTCCTCAGCTTTTGGAGTTGGTTTGTGAGCTACATAAGAAGGCCCAGGTTGAGCTGTCTAGCAGGGTAGTATATAGTTGGGACAGCTGTGCACATGCACCTCATCCTGCACCGCATCACGTAAGTCAACCATTATCTCCTCCCACACATCTTCCTGTACCTCATCACATACCTCATCACATACCTCATCACATACCTCATCACATACCTCATCACATACCTCATCAGATACCTCATCACATATCTCATCACATACCTCATCACATACCTTATCACATACCTCATCACATACCTCATCACATACCTCATCACATACCTCATCATATACCTCATCACATACCTCATCACATACCTCATCACATACCTCATCACATACCTCATCACATACCTCATCACATACCTCATCACATACCTCATCATATACCTCATCACATACCTCATCACATACCTCATCACATACCTAATCACATACCTCATCACATACCTCGTCACATACCTCGTCACATACCTCGTCACATACCTCGTCACGTACCTCATCTCACACCCCATCCCATTGCACACCTCATCCCACACCTCAACCCATACATGCCCGTTTCCTTGATACACATGCCAACGACTATCATATCTGAATGTCTTTTGATTCATTTGATGCTTTACCCTCACAAGCCTGCCGCCGACACTCTTGCCCGCCAACACTCACGCGTATCCTCTTATTTGTTTCCTTCCCCTCTATCCCACTCCCAGTTCCTCCTCCTGTCTCCCCCTCCCCCTTGACCCACCAATCCCCCTCCTCCTTGTTGGAATGGAAAGTTGATGTTGGCAGCAGAGCGACGCTGCATGCACTTCGCCAACCCCACTCCCTCCTCCTATCTCCCCTCAGCTGCTTCTACCAACCACCTACACATGGTGGCATAGCGTGGAGCGAGGCGGACTCAGAGGAGGCAATGTCTGGGGCATGGGCGTAACCAAGATGCTGGTGTGTCGGTGTTTAGCACTCCAGATTAGACTATCTGTATTTGGCACTGTAATTGGGAGTGTCTCCAGCTTTGGTAGTTCGTTCGGGAGCTACATGAGCAGCCATGGTTGTGCACTCAAGCAGGAAGACATAGTGGTGGAACAGCTGTGCACTGCACCTCATTACATGTCTCATCAAATACCTTATCGCGTGCCTCATTCCACACCTCATCCCACACCTCTCCCATACCTCATCCTGCCCCTCTTTTCATACCTTATCCCAGACATCACATAACTTATTTCGCAACTCATCCCGTATTTCATCCATACCTCATCGCATATTATGCATCCCACTGTTATGCTGTTTCTGACTCACTCTCGCTTCCCTCGGTCCTTTCCCTTTCTTGCACAGTTACTGTAGAATCCCCTCGAGCACACTCTTCCGACGTACCTTGCCAACCTGGAAGAAGACCGGGACCCCACAGGTGGTTTCCGTGGTGACCGAGCCTTCGCCTCGGCAGTAGACGAAGCTGACTGGGACGAGCAGAACGTGGATGCAGCCTCGAAGGAAGCCGGACCTCTCCCTTACTACTCCGTCGACGTCCCAATGGATGGCGAAAATCCTCGCGACAGCATCAACGCCGAAGTATTTTACCACTTCGCCGACAACGGTTACGTTACACCCGCAGAAGTCAACACCAACGAAGCAGAACGCATTGGGCCCAACTTCATACCTGACCTAGAAGCAGGTGACGAAGCAGCTTATCCCGCAGACACAACACTCCCCCGCTACACACAGAGTGGCCTCCAGATACTCGGCCTTGTTACCACGGTCCACGGCACGGAGGTTCCTAAGGAGCCTGCCACAGTTCAGCAGGCTCTAGGGGGGGAGCATAGGGAAAAATGGCGTGAAGCCATGGATAGGGAACTAAAAGCACTGGAGGAACGCAACACCTGGAAAGTCGTTCCCATCGGCGTGGCTCGAAACAAGACAGTACGCACCGGAAAATGGGTCTTCCGTGTGAAGACAAAGGCAGACGGCACCATCGACAAGTTTAAGCGCGGTGGGTCATACGCGGCTTCGACGAAGAGCACGGACGCGACTTCACGGAGACATTCGCCCCGGTCTACCGACACATCTCACTGCAAATTCTCCTCGCAATTGCCACCATGAAGAAGAAAAAGCTACGGCAAGTCGACGTCGCCAATGCATTCCTCTACACACCTGTCGACGCAGAAATCTTCGTCGAACTACCACATGGCTCCAACGGAGAACCTAATCACGTCTGTCAGCTGCTGAAGTCATTGTACGGCATCAAACAGACCCCGAGACTGTGGCAGCAGTACCTACATGCTTAGCTCGTTCGCATTGGATTCCGCCAGCTACCTCACGACCAGGGCATGTATCGGCTCACAAAGAGCACCGACTACATCACACTGATCGTCTACGTGGACGATTTACTCTACATCGGCTCGACCGACAACGTCACTACTTGGTTTGAAGGGGAGCTACAAAAGGATCTCACGCTAACGGTCTCGTCCACCGTCACGCAGTACCTCGGCCTCAACATTCAGGAAGAAGGCGCGATCTACCTCAACGCCGCGAAATACGTCGACACCATCGCCAAACGTTTCGCACTCACGCCAACTACCATTTCTACGCCATACCACTACATGGCAGGAAATCACAAGGAAGGCTCCACTCCACTCAAGCCTGCCAGGATACGCGACTACCAGAGGAAGCTGGGATGCCTTCTCTTCGCAGCTGTCACCTGCCTCCCGAACCTATCATACTCTACAAGTCAACTCGCCACCTACCTTAAAAGGCTTGAAGCTGAACACATGGCGGAGCTCGACCACGCTCTTCACTACCTCGTTAGCACGCCAACGATCGGCCTGACCTACTACAAGAACGGAACTACAACGCCTAAGTTAATCGGCTACGTCAACGCCGACCACGCCGGAGATTCTGACAATAGGCGCTCGCGCACAGGCTACATCTACCGCCTCGAGCCTATCGGACCTATCTCGTGGCAGTCGAGCAAGCAGGAATTAATCGCTCTCTCCTCAGCTGAAGCAGAATATATCGCACTCTGCTCAGCCACCAAGGAAGGATTGTACCTTCGCGAACTCTTGGAGGAAGCGAAGCGGGCTAAGTTACCCAGCTTCACTCTGTTCTACGACAACCAGTCAGCAATTCGCATAGCCAACAAAAACGGATTCGCAAACAGGACGAAGCATATCGCCCTGCAATATTTCTTCGTAAAAGACGAGATCGAGAAGGGGAGACTCGAATTATCCTACTGCCCCACGTCTGAGATGGCAGCTGATTACTTGACCAAGAAATTTTGAAAGCAGAAGTTCGAGTACTGCATGCTGCTGACTGGACAGAGCCACGTCACCAGCAGCGACACTCCAGAAGCGAAGGGGAGTGTTGGAAACAATTAACATGAGCGCCTCTGTCGTGTCGAATCACCAAGTCAGAAGCGAAGCGAAACATATCGAAGCATCAGCGAGTCAACCCTCGGAGGTTGAGCAACTGCTGGAGGTTACGCGAAAGTCAAAGGTCAGCGACCTTTGACCTGACAAGTTTAGCGCGACAGCAAGGACAAACAACTGACTCGCTATTGAGCAGTTGCTCGAGTCGTCACAGTATCGAACCGCAACAACAACAGCAAAACAGTTAGTAGTTATAACCCTTCATATTCCCTTGTACTCTTATAAAAGGCTTGTATCTCTCTGTTTTAATTAGTCTACTTTGCCCTCACATACCAGCGCAAGGTGGTTCACAACCTTCTATAACGCTTCCGCTATTACATCAGTCCTACCAGGAGTTTGATCCTGCAAAGATCCCAAGGGCTACTTCTCAGCCCAACAGAGACTACCGTAAACACCCAGATACCACCAATCAAAGGTCTTCAAACAAATCTACCACCCAAAGAGACCACCGTAATCACCCATATATACAAGCAGTGGTGAGTGGACGTTGACGGTGATGGCCAATGGTGAAGGCCGGGTATGAGTACCTCTTTGCACATGAGCAATTCAGGCCTGCCTAGAGCAGGTGTAGGTGAGTGAGGGGGGAAGAGAACAGCGTGCATGAAGGTGAAGTTGTGAGAAATGCAAGCAGACAGGAGGCCATGGAGGCGGTGGGAGAGGGGGTGAGGAGATAGGGGAAAGAGATGGGCAGACCAGGACATATGCATACATAAACACATGCACATACACATTTATATTGGAATACGCATACCATACGCACAAGCATTGGCTTGCGCATGCAAAGGCAGGAAGGAGAATGTGAGGGGAGGTGGGACAAAAATCAGTAGCTCCGCAACGCAATCCTACCTGTACCACCGGGGAGAGTCATGACCAATCGCATGGCATCACTGCCCTACTTTGCTCTTGCCAATGCGAATCTGTGTGACACATTGGAATTTGTGCCATATGCATCGCAGCTTTAGAGTCAAATTCACCTCCCACCTTCCACTCCCTCCATCACCTCACCTCCCTCCTGCCACTCACGTTGCCACTCTTATTGCCTCTCACATTGCCACTCACATCACTCACATGCCCACTCACCTCGCCACTGTTCTTTCCACTCTTCCCGTTGGTCCTGCCGGGGCATGTGAGCTTGTGGGAGGGCATGTGAGCTTGTGGTTTGGCAGTCCCTGCCGCAGCTTTTCAGCTTCACACCGCCACCCGCCTCCCTCCCACACCCCCCAGCACCGCACACACGTCCCCCCGTAGACAGCATACCAGAGCCTTCGGCATAAGAAGTGGGTTTTGCTTGAACGGCTGCTGCAGCAACGATTGGTGCAGAGACAGGAATTGCAGCATCTGACAAAGGTGTTGTGTGGGAGAGTCTCCTGAAGATGCAGCAGGGATGGAAGGGGCAGTAGGGGCGGAAGGGGCAGCAGGGGAGGCAGGGTGGTAGCACGGCTCCCCCAACAACATCTCTCGCAGACATGCAAGCAGATTGACCCCCCCCGGCCATGCTTTCAGATAAGCCGGCTCCTCCTCCTGCTCCGTGCCCTTCTTCTCACCGATGATGCCGCCACTGCTGTTGGCCTTGCTGCTTCTCCTCTGGGTGCTGCTCTTGCTGCTGCCACATCGACTCGTAGACCCACCTTGGCAATCTTCGTGATGCATCGGCCTGCTAGGCCCAATATATGTGCAGCTATGTTCGGACACATAAGCCGGCCAGGCATACATTGCCATATTGCACCACAACCAAACCTCGTCCCACACCTCCGGATCATCCCACGAAGACTGTTCCCTACCTTCGTCATCCCCACCAACTCCTCTGCTTCCCAGCCTCCCTCCTCCACCCCTCCCGTTCAACTTAGTGCCTCTCTTAATAGGCCTCCCGTCCTTGTCTACCCCACAAGGAGCCATCATTGGTCCAGTCCACTTCACAGCAATCGCGAGCAGCATAGTGAGTGGCATGTGCTCTGCCCGTTGGCGCATCCACCCCAGGGCCTCCAATTGGGCTGACTGAGTCACTCCCATCTCCAGGCGGAAGGCACTGGCTAGGGTGTGGAATTCTTGAGAGCAGGGGGGGAAGATGGAGACGAAGCGGTTGAAGAGGATGGAGACGGGGCGGTAGGCGAAGTTGGCAATGAAGGCGACCAAGGAGATTTGGGAGGTGAACAGGTCCATGCATCTTCTGCACCGAGAGAGGGTGGGGTGATTTTGCTAGCAGCAACCTCCAGAATATAATCCACGTCCGCCATGCAGTGAACAATGGGATGACGGCTTTAGGTGAGCGGATGCGAAGGAGCGGGAGTGGACTCATTGTTGCTGCAACCCACACGCACCGTCTTCCTCTCAACCCTCCTCTTACCTCCTGCCTCTGACGACGGACCAGGGGACCTTCCCTTGACTGCTTCTGCCGTCCCACTCTCCTCCACAATCCCGTAGCCAAAAAAGCTCTCTTTGCAATCATCACGAAGCTTCACAGCAACTTTATCACCCTGAGGCCACTCCTCCTACTCCATGGGCAAGCTCCTTCCCTCCATAAACTTGGGGACGTTGCCAAACCTGAGAAGCAGGCTTGGAAGGTCCCGCAGCGGATGGCGCATGGGCAGGACCTTGCCTTGTGGGCTGTCCTTAAAACATTTCTCCGCTGAAATGAAACCTGAGCCGTAAAGCCGGACCCACTGCAAGATGCAAGCAGCCCGGTACGTGAAAACAGCAACACCAGGGTGGGTGTTGACAGGCACGAGGCCAGAGCTGGTAGAAGCATCTCCACTCATGTCAGAGTCAGAATCTTTAATGCTTCCAAGCGAACCACCACAAGCCTTGGAGCTCGCTGCCTGGGCAGCTGCAGGTGGCAATGCTGCTGCCGTAGCTGATGCTACTGATTCCACTCCTGCACCCGTTCCCCCTGCTCCTCCTTTTCCTCCTGCTTCCTCACTCGCCCCTCCTGTCAACACCACTTGTCTGGCTCTCTTCCTGGCATCCGCAATGGCTGCTGCCTCCACCCGTGCCTTGCAGGGGTTGTTCATATCCAGGTAGAATATTCCCCATGCCATGCAGCACTCGGGCTTGGAGAGCACATTGGCGACTGCCACGGCGAAGTCAGTGGCACCCACACCACTCAGGTACATGCCTCTGGGAAAATCCTTGCCTTCCACAACACTGCTCATATTGCTGCTGCTGCCGCCGCTGCCCCCGCTGCTGCTGCTGCTGCCACTGCTGCTGCTGCTGCAGCTGCTGTCGCTGCTGTTGCTGTTCTCATTGTTGCTGCTGCCCCCCTCACTGCAGTGGCTGCACCGGAACTCCCTCCCTTCCCCCCCTCCATGCTCCAGAATCCAAGCCATGCCATCCACATACCTCTCCCACACACGCCCCTTCAAATTCTCCCTCCAATGCCCACCTTTCTAATCCTTGCCATCCCCATCACCGCCATCAAGCCTCTTGCCAGTCTCGCCGCGTACTTCAAACCTTGAGCCATTCCCCATCAACATGCCTTCCAGTCTTTTAGTCACACCTCCCTCCCCCACCCCACCTTCACCAGCTCCCACCATCCCACGCATCTTCCCTCCTAAACGCACGCTCCTACCATTCCTCACCACGCCCATCGCCACCTCCACCTCCTTCCTCACCTTCCACACAGTGCCCCCTCCCCCTCCCCTCAGCATGCGCCTTCTCCAGCCCGCCTGACAGCAGATGTTGCACAAAGAACCCAAACCCCTCTTGCAGATCAGCGCTCTCCTTCACCCCCAGCACCTGCACCAACATGGATGCAACACAGTCGTTCGCAACCTGCCTGCCCGCCCCCAGCTCGGCCAAGATCGCCTGGTAAGTGCCAGCCCGTGTCTCTATGCGAGTGGTCAGTAGAGTCACAACCCGGGGCCACCTCGCCACCAGCACGAGGAGGGCAGCGAAGCTGACCACACGGCGGCTGGCAGCCCAGCAGCTGCTGCAACGAAAAAGCACGACCACGCAGCAGCAGCAGGAGAGAGCGGAGCAGCACGGGTAACAAGGGGGGCAGTAACAGCTGAGACATCTGTTGCAACATCTGTAGCAGGGAACATAGCCAGCAGGCGGGATCTGATCCTCCCCAGGTCCATGAGCACGCCCACACAAGGTTCTGCCATCCACTCCTTAACCATGGCTTCCGCACAGAGCAATGGCGCCAGCTCACACTTGCAGCTAAACTGCAAGTGAGGATCCTTTTCCCCCTCCTTTCCAAACGCTGAAATCTTGGAGGAATACTCCAAAACATCCCTGCTGACCCTGCCTGGGAACCCAAGCACTCAAGGAACAGACCCCTGCTCCACATTGCGCATCTCGTCCCGGAAACCCGCGAGGTTCGTCAAGTAGATGCTGCAGTGAGCTCGGTAGCTGACAGCACGCTCCAAGCAGCACTCGCATTCACCCACACCCCACCCGCCTGTCACGTCCAAGTAGTGCACCATGTCCGCCCGACACAGCAGCTGACGCTTTCCATGCGTGTCTTGAGCTCCTGTTTCCCCTAATCCCTGCTCCTTTTTCCCCTCTGCCTTCCCCACTCCAGCCGCCTCCTCTTTAAACTTCCACGTTTTCACAGCCTCCTTGCGTTTCTTCCAGATCTCATCGCGAAGGGCCTGTCTTTCCTTCAAGCCGTCTTTCCCCTTGGATGTTCCAACACGATTTCCGGTCTTTTCTCTTCCTCCACCACTCGCACTTGCGTCTCTCTTTGCCTTTTGTGGTTCCTCTTCTTCGTCATCGCTGCTGGATTCGATGTGCTGCCACTTGCTATAGTCAATTCCACGTGCCCTGGTCACAGCAGCAGGTGCGGCAGCAGGTACAGACCCAGTAGCAGGAGGAGAAGCTATAGCGAGAGCAGCAGCGGGTGTAGCGGCAGCAGCAGGAGGAGCAGCAGCAGGCCCAGCAGCAGCAGTTGCTGCAGCGGAGCGATCAGAAAGAGGAGGAGCAGCAGGCGCAGCAGCAGGGCCCATCACACTCTCTTCAGCTTTACCCTTACCCTTACTACTACTACCGAGTCCGTCTCCATGATCCAGTGTCTTCACAGGAAGCACCTTGACAATCGAGCCCGATTTCAGCCTCGCCTGCTCAATAGTGGAGTCAGGAGAGAGGTACGCCACCTGCCCTATCACCATGAACCGGACCGGCTGCGTCCCACGCGCCAAGTCAGTCTCCTTAACAACTTCTCAGCCATCGTTTTCTAACTGCGCTGCACGTCGCGTGAAAGCTCCTCGGTTCCTTGCGGTGCCAAGCATGCATCGCGCGGCAGGCAACAGTCAGGCAGATGCGAGTCGAAAAGGCGGTTGAAGACCGATCGGAATGGCTCGTCTGGAGAGGCAGCGACGCTGACGTCCACGTGGGATGATGCCGATGGTGTGTTGCCACGTCGGCCATCCTTGGATCGTGAGTCGATGCTATGATGGTCGTCGGATCTGCGATGAACCAAGGCTTTGGGTAATCAAAACCGAACCTCAAGAGCCATGCCTGCTCTCCTCAAGTAACGTTGAACGGACTTCGTATCACCAGATCAAACATAAAATACTTCAAAAAACTGACGCATCATGGAGGTTCTTTCCGCGGAGGTTCGCCTGTTAGTCGATGATGGCGAGCTGAGTAAGGCGCGCTGAACGCGACAGGCGGCACTGCGGCCGACATCGGTTCGAGGCGAAGGGCTGAAAACGTAGGAGTTCCGAAGCGCGCTGCGACGCCGTTGAATCTCGCACGGCAATGGAATACCGGTGAAACGGCCAGTCCTCGAAGATGCGAGTGGCGTGGCGATATCACCTTCACGGCGCGCTATGGGGAGATTGGCGCGTCGTTTGGATCCAAACACTGCGTTCGACGCGCTCGCATCACATGCATGATTTCATGTACAATGTTGAATCACGGATCCAGCTGTTTGTGAGGTACTACTAGAAAACGATTCTTGGGTCTCTAGATTCTCACTACCACGTGGGAAGCAAACAAAGTGGATGACGAAATCTGCGATAGGAATTGCGAATTTGACAGAGGGTTTTCGTGCACCAACAAGGCAACCTGGAAACACATTAGCTGACGAAATAAAGAGTGCCTCTCCTTTGTAACGAGGGAATATAGAAAGCTCTTTCAGGTTACAAATGCTGGCGAAATCAGCTCCTCTTGGAAAATTTCGCGCATGCAGATCCAACCCCACGCCCTCATCCTCTCACGTTTCTTCCCCTTCATCACTCACGCCTATCTGGTGCTTCGTGACAGGCACGACGCCAGATTCACGTCCTCAGGCTCACGACGCCGCGACATGATGCTTGCTGACGCAAGCACGTATCCGGTGCGAGAATTCCAACAGATCTTCGCTGCCTTCGCGAAAGAGAATGTTTGTGAACAGCCATGAGCGACGCGACGATGTCCATCCTGCCATGATTGCTGTAAAGCCTTTCCCTTATAACCAACGGGCTTCAAGCTTGAAACAACAGAGTTTATGAAGTTGCAATACAAGATCTTGAAACTACAAGAAATACTCCACGTAATAGTAACCACTATGTGGATGGCGCGGAGCTTCTTGAGTAGAGGCTTGGTAGGAGTAGAAAAAGAGTTTCAGCCAAGTGAGCCTTGGTTGAAGAGCTTGTCACATGTGGGAGCTAGGCTTGCTAGAGTTATGAGGAGAAAAGAGGAGACTTAGACAAAATCCCATTTCCAATATTGAGTTTGATGGGAAGAATGAGCTCTTGGCTCAGACCCCTTCCAATACCTCATTGGGGAGCTTCTCCTCCTCCATGGCCACAAGGTGGAGGAGTTCCTAAGGTGGGGTTGCTTAGGTGGCAAAAAAATATTGTAAACCAATGAACATTGAGCATCTGCACATAATTGCAAGATAGGTTGTAACAATTTGGCTGCACAATTCTGGTTGGTTGAAATTCCAACCAATGTGAGGGTTGGAACGTTTTCCAACCTGGTTTGTCCTTCAGTGGTAGTTGGTTACAAATGTTACCCAACCCAACCACTCTAGCTTCCCTGCACACAATTCCCTCGACACCTGCGAGCTAGTGTAGGTCGCGCTTAGCTTAGTTAGGCGACTAGGAACTAGGGAGCTGCAGAATAGGTGATACGTTACACTCCTCCCCCTCCAGTTGGCAACGTCCTCGTTGCCGTGGAGTGCTTCCGGGGACGAGCACTTCGAGCACGTTGTACTACATTACGACCAGGGTCAACACCATCCGCTGGATGTGGGACTGCTCGTCGAGCCAGGTCTTCCATGTATGACAGAACTGCTGTTTCAGTCAGATGCTCTTCTGGCTCCCATGAGTTGTGTTCAGGCCCATAGCCTTTCCATTGAATGAGGAACTCACGAATTGTTTTACGGCCACGTTGTCGATCCCGGTGTGTCAACACCCTGTCGACTTCATAATATAGTTCCTCCCCTAGGACGATGGTTGGTAGTGGTAGGTATTTGCCTTCAGCAATATACTTACTAAGCAGAGACACGTGGAAGACATTATGTATCTGCAATGTTGAAGATAGCTTCAACTTATAAGCCACCTCACCAACCCGCTTGATTACCCCGAACGGCCCAATCCATCGAGGGAACAGCTTTCGTACACCACAGATTTTGAGTCGAATGTTCTTCGTACTCAACAATACATAGTCTCCAATATTGAAAGAGAGTTCCCGGCGTTTCATGTCGGCATATGATTTTTGTCGTTGTTGGGCAAGCTGCAGCCAATGGCGAGCAGACTTCAGTGCCTCTTGCTGCTTACTGACAAAATCCTTAGCAGCGGAAATCCTCAAATTGCTGATCCCGTGCGTAGCTGGTGTTGTGGGATGCCGACCACAATTGAGGATGAATAGTTTTTCATGAGTGCTTTCATGCACGGAGTTGTTCGCCGCGAACTCGACGACGGGCAACAACTCGTCCCAATCATCCTGTGTTGGGCCAATGAAAGAATGAAGCATTTGCTCAAGTGTACGATTAGTTCGTTCGGTCTGCCCATCCGTCTGGGGATGGAATGCCGAAGACATTTTGAGCTTCGTCCCAAGTGTCCGCAGAACTTCCTGCCAGAACCGGCTAGTGAAGCGCAGGTCCCGATCGGACACTAACACATGTGGTAATCAATGTAAACGGAAAACATGCGCCACAAACAACTTGGCCGTATCTTCCGCTGACACGTCAGTTGTAGTGGGCACGAAGTGCACCATCTTAGTCAAACAATCTACAAAAACTAAGATCGTCGTATGACCGTCACGGGTCCTGGGGAGATCGGTGATGAAATCCATCGACACACTCTCCCATGGTTCGTCAGGGATCTGGAGTGGTTGAAGCAAACCACTGGGTCGTTGTGTGCTAGGCTTGTTCCGTGCACACGTGTCGCAGCGCGTTACAAACTGCTGGACTTCCACACCCGATCCCGGCCACCAATATACGTCACTGAGCGCCCACCGGGTTTTCTTTATGCCCAAGTGTCATCCGTATTTGGTAGCTTGCACTTCCTCCAATATGTCATTCCGTAGGTTCCCTACGTGTGGCACTACAATTTCATTTTTGTGCCACCAGAGTTCATGCTCCCATTGAAGACCCTTCGTATTTTGTGGGTTCTGAAACCAGGAGTCAATGGCATACCCGGTGCGGATGCGTTTCAGAAAACCACTGAAGGCGACGTCACTCACTTGCGCGGCTGCGAGGATGCTGAAGCACGCGGCAAACACGGCAGCGTGTTCAGCGTCGTCGAGCCCTGTGGCAGCACTAATCGGCTGTCTGCTCAGGGGGTCAGCCATATTTGTCGAGCCTGCACGATACCGTATATCGTACATGAACCCACTCAGGAGTTCGGCCCATCGAGCTTGACGTCGAGTGAGAGTGGCTTGTGATGTAAAATAGGTGTTCGGACAATGGTCTGTTGTGACCACAAAATCCACACCTTCAAGGTAACAACGCCATGTTCTTAACGCGTGTACGACTGCCAGTAACTCTTGTTCGGAAGTCGTATAGCGTTGCTCTGCCGGGGAGAGCTTTCTACTCTCAAACGCCACCAGTCGTCCTTCTTGCAAAAGGACTGCCCCAATTCCTACCGTAGAGGCATCAGTGACAACCTCATACGGCTTGGATAGGTCTCGCAAGAACAGCACTGGAGCATTGGTCAATTTGTGTTTGACTTCATTAAATGCTTCTTCGCATTTAGTGGTCCATTCCCAAGCACTACTCTTACGAGTGAGTGCTGTCAAAGGGGCGACAATCGTTGAGTAGTTTTCAAGAAAGCGACGAAAATAGTTGGCAAGTCCGAGGAATGATCGGACTTGGCCAACGTCTTGCGGGGTTGGCCAATTTTCGATAGCTACCACTTTCTTTGGATCCACCTTCAATCCATCACTACTCACGATATGCCCGAGATACTCAAGCTCTCGTTTGTAGAAATGACATTTCCACAATCGCGCATAGAACTTGTGTTCTCGTAACTTCCCTAACACCCACTTGAGGTGTTGCGTGTGCTCGTTTTCTGTCTTCGAGTATACCAAGATATCATCTAGGTAAACCAAGACAAACTGATCAATCGCCTCCCGAAATACATCATTCATAGCTCTTTGAAAAGAAGCTGGGGCATTGGTCAGACTGAAGCTTAACACACGCCACTGGAAATGGCCAAACGGCGTTCGGAAAGCCGTCTTCGGTACATCCTCCTTGGTAATGCGCAATTGATGGTACCCCTGTGCGAGGTCCAATGCGCTGATCCGTTGTGCACCTTGGAGTCGATCAAACAGGTCCTCGATGCGAGGAAGAGGATATCTGTTTTTTATCTTGATCTTGTTCAAGGCACGGTAGTCAACGCACATGCGTAATCCTCCGCCCTTTATATTCACGAACAAGATTGGTGCTCCGTACGGTGAAGCACTTGGCTCAATCCATCCCTTCTTCAGGTACTCCTGAATTTGTTGCTTAGCCTCCTCGTACTCAGCTGGACTGAGACGATATAGAGGTCGAAATGGTGGGGATTTTCCAGGTTCCATCAAAATGGTATGCACTACAGCTCGATCTGGAGGGAGACCATCCGGAATTGATTC